AAATTAAAAATTCATCCATACAAAATGTAGAGAAAACAATTGCGGTTTTTTTGAGCTATAGAACTCCTAGAAATGTCAAAAACTGAAAGAGGAGATAGATTTTTTCTGTAAAAAACTTTCAAAAATGACCATTTTTGACATTTTTTCTTCCGGAAAACGACCATACATGAATCTATAACCACTAATTAATTTTTTAAGAATCATTTGAATCATTTTGGAACTCCACAAAATCAGATAAAAAATTCTGAAATTATGGTTTTAGACATGCAATTGTGATCGCGCCAAACTTTTTTCTGTAGATCAAAAATTAATTTGCAGTTCGGAATTGTTTTGTGGGAGAGCGTGAGGTGTCACTTTTTCTAATTCGACAATAGCAAATGATCAAAATTTAGCAAATGAAAATTAGCAAGTGAGACTATTTTAGCAAAAGATCATCAAGCTAATGAGTATTTGCCTAAAAAAAAAAAATATATATATATATATAAATAGTGAAAAATTGGCTCAAAAACCAAATTTAAAAAAAAATCATAAAAATGGACAAAATCGAAACAACAACTTTCTTCAACAAAAAATATGTGTAAAAATCAAGAAAGATCAACAATTTTGGAATAAAAAGCAGTGATAAATTGATAAAATTAACAAAAGTCAACAACAAAAAATGAGTAAGAGGATGGGTATAAACTTGGGGGTTTCTTTCGAAAAATTCAAAATTTCCAAAACTACTCCCTATTGCTCATCCTCACCGTCGTTGTCGTCTTCCTCATCCACGTCTTCTTCCTCATCTTCATCGTCAACGTCGACGTCTTCATCTGAATCCTCTACCTTTCTCTTCTTCGCTCCCGGAGCTCTATCCTCATCATCAGAGTCCTCTTCTTCTTCTTCGTCAACGTCTTCTTCCTCCTCTTCATCATCCACGTCATCTGAATCCTCATCAGAATCCTCATCTCCTTTTTCCACCTAAAAAAAATCGAAATCAGTTGAAACGTTCGCTTAAAAGGGGCAAAAATGGTCCATTGCTCAGCTTGAAAATCCGTCTAGAAATCGACTTAAAATGGTCCAAAAAATGCCTAATAAGCCCAAATTTTGGGTCATTGCTCAGCTTAAAAACTTCCCCAAAGCAAACCCCTCAAAAATGGCCCATTTTGAAAATCATTGCTCAGCTTAAAAAATAATTTTTGAAAATCGGCTAAAAATAGATGAACCAATTTTCGGTCATTGCTCAGCTTAAAATTATAGCTACAAAAAAGGCTTAAAATTCGCTGAATATGACAGAGTTCGCAGTCATTGCTCAGCTTAAAAAGTCCTCTAAAAATCGGCCAAAAACAACCAATTATTCTGATTAAACACTACTGATTCTTGTATGATTGCTCAGCTTAAAACTTTCGCTTCAAAATGGCTCAAAAAATCGGCTTAAAAACTCTCAAAAATGCTCAATTTGAGATTATTGCTCAGCTTAAACAACCAACACAAAGAGTATGGCCGAAAAACGCTAAAAATCGGTCAAAAATGCCCGATTTTTGGTCATTTTTAGACAATTAGAAAATCGCTGAAATTCCCAATTTTTGGGTCATTGCTCAGCTTAAAAATAGACTTAAAAACCCACCATTCCATCAAAGAATCCCTCCACCTTTCTCTTCTTTTTCGTCTTCGCATCCTGAGCTCTCAGAATTGGAATCCCGTCGATGATCGGCGACATTTCCCACTTTTTGATCGTCTGACTGAATGAGATCATTGTGTAGACGATACGCTTATCAGTGGAGATCTGCAAAGTGATAGGAAATGACAAAAATTCGAAAATTCAAAAAATCCAGACCTACCGTAATCGCATCAATGCCATCATCCAAATCCTTCTCATCGCCATGACATCCAGCGATTCCCAGCCGTTTCGATGGTTGCACATTCAACAGTCTCATTTTATTACTTCCCCCCGAGATTAGTCCCAAAAGACCGCTCCTAAGCTCCACGATACCATTGACGCCCATCTCGAAGCCCGATTCGATTCGTTCCAAAAGGTTACCGTACTCTTTGAGATTGAATACTTCCACGTAGCCATCCTCACCACCAACATACACATTTCGGTTCGTTCCGCACACCGCGAACAGCTCCGAATGCATCAGTTCACTGCGGACCTGAAAAATTGAAATTTGTCCAATTTCGATAAAAACTGATTTCACAGGCACAGGCTAAAATAGGCTAAAAATAAGAATACTGGAAGAAAATTTCAAAAAAGTCGATTTAAAAAAATGTTTTTTTGAAAATTTTCAATTTTTCCCAAAATCGTCCAATCGCGATAAAAATCGATATCACGAGCTGAAATTGGCTAAAAATGAGAATTCGAAAGAAATTTTCGAAAAAAATCGATTTTTGAAGAAATTTTTTTTTGGAATTTTTCCAAAATAAATTTTTTTTTCAATTTTCAGTTTTTTCGAAAAAATTTTTCAACAATCTCATTTTCAGCCAATTTGAGCTCGTGATATCAATTTTTATCGCGATTGAACGATTTTGAATTTTTTTTTTTAATTTTCGAAAAAAATTTTTTTTCAAATTTTACCTTTTTCGAAATTTTCTTTCAGATTCCTTATTTTCAGCCAATTTCACCTCGTCAAATCGATTTTTATCACGATTCGATGATTTTGAAAAAATCGGAATTTTTCAAAAAAAAAATTCAAATTCTTTTTTTTTTTGAAATTTTTTTCCGAAAAAATACCTTAAACTTGGCTTTTCTCAAATCATAGGCACCAAGTGTTCCATCAGAAGACGTCGCGAGAAGATTCGATTTACAGTCTACAGTAAGCTCATTGATCTCTTCCGACTGCTCTTTCCACTCCCTGACCATTGCCACGTCGGCATCCAAATTCCACGTCTTCACTTCTCCAGATTCATCGGCTGTCGCCAGTTGTTGAGATTTCAGAGCCGTCGGTGGGAGGGTACAAAGGGTCATCGGTTTCGATGAGTGACATTTTAGAATGCAACGGGTTCTGGAATAAGCTCAATTATGTGGGTTACTGTAGGAGATATCGAAAAGTTTTCAACTGATAAAATATTGCTGATAATGTGATAAACATTTTACCAGTTGACACAATTTTGATATCTCTTACAGTACCCGAGATAAATTAGCTCAATGTGGACAGTCATGAGGAGCCGCAAGCGGCCCGCCAGCAGCTCACCGCTCAAGCTTCTCTTCGCCCTCCAGCGTTTGAGCTCACTTATCTGGGTTACTGTAGGAGGTATCAACAATCTGCTAACTGATAAAATCCTTGCCTCATTATTGGCTCAAAGTGCCCATTATTGGCTCAAAGTGCCACGAGGAGCCTCCAGAGGCTATCCAGATAATTGAGCTCACTTATCCGGGTTACTGTAGGAGATATCAAAACGTGGTTAACTGATAAAATATTGCTGATAATGTGATACACATTTTATCAATTGACAACTTTTTGATATCTCTTACAGTAACCTGGATAATTTGGCTCAAAACACCGAAGGGCGCAGAGAAGCTTGAGCGGCTCCTCATGGCTGTCCCCTATGAGCTCAATTATCTGGGTTACTGTAGGAGATATCGAAAAGTTTTCAACTGATAAAATATTGCTGATAATGTGATAAACATTTTATCAGTTGGACAAATTTTGATATCTCTTACAGTAACCCAGATAATTGAGCTGAAAAATTGGATCCCTAAAACTGTGATTTTTTGCAAAATTTTTTCTGTAACCCAGAAAAAAGGGCTCAAAGTTCAGGTATACTGTACCTCCTTCCAGTTTCCATATCGAAAACACAAAGTGCTCGATTCAGAGTCACCGCGTAGACTCGGCTCCGCCCCTCATCGATTTCCACTCCTCGAATGCTCGATTTTGTCTGAAAATTAGTGATTTTGCCAGGAGAAAATGACTGAAAATGGTCCAGAAATCATTTTCAGACAAATTTTGACCCAAAAAATCGATAATTTTGGCTGAAAATATCTAAAAAATGCTCAAAATAAGTCTAGAACCCTCTAGAACCCCCGAATTTTTGTTCTAAACAAAAGCAAAAAGACATTGCAGCCGAGTGGAATCGAACCCTGGTGTTGACTTTCCGAAAACTCGTCCAAAATCCCACTAGGCCACCCGAACAAATTTTTGAAAAATGTCGATTTTCGTGGTTTTAGGGATTTCAAAGCTGATTTTGGCTTCAAAAATGGCTTTAAATGGTCCAAAAACCGTTTTTAGCCAATTTTCAGTCAATTTCAGCGTACTTTGAATCTCCAAATCTCCTCGAATTGCTCTGATTTCTCATCAAACTTCGTTGTATCATAGAAACGAATAGTGCCGTCGACGAATCCGACGACAAGACGAGACCCATCGGAATTGGTTTTCAGGCAAGATGGGAAGACATCTAGTTTGGTGAGCATCTGGAAAACAAAATTACAGAAAAACTTTTGCAAAAAATCACGGTTTTAGGGATCCAATTTTTCAGCTCAATTATCTGGGTTACTGTAAGAGATATCAAAATTTGTCCAACTGATAAAATGTTTATCACATTATCAGCAATATTTTATCAGTTGAAAACTTTTCGATATCTCCTACAGCAACCCACATAATTGAGCTAATAGGGGATAGCCATGAGGAGCAGCTCAAGCTTCTCTGCGCCCTTCGGTGTTTTGAGCCAAATTATCCGGGTTACTGTAAGAGATATCAAAAAGTGATCTACTGATAAAATTTTCATCACATTATCAGAAATATTTTATCAGTTGACCGATGATTGTTATCTCTTATAGTAACCCAGATAATTGAGCTCAATTATCTGGATTACTGTAGAAGAGATCAAAAAGTGGTCTACTGATAAAATGCTCATAATATTATCAGGAACATTTTATCAGTTGACAGATTTCTGATATCTCCTACAGTAACCCAGATAATTGAGCTCTCAAAAAATGCATCCCTAAAATCGTGATTTTTTGCCGAAATTTTAGTCATTTTCAGCCAGAAAAAATCCCCAAAAAAGACAAAAAAATTAACAATTCAAAGATATCAAAAATAGCGCTTAAAAACGTCAAAAATCAAGAAAATTCAAAAAATGGGAAAAAAAATTATAGCACTTCTTCTTTCATAAAACGAAAGGAAATCAATAAGAGACGAAAAAATCAATAAATCAATACCCAGAAAAATCAGAGAAAAAAAAACGAAAAAACGACGAACAAGAGAATAGAGAAAGGATCCCGAGTAGTTTCTTTTACAAAAAAAAGGCGGGAAATTCAAAAAAACGGTCCAAATTTCCCCGAGAAAACAAAGCTAAAAAAAATACTAAATAGAAAATGGGTAAAAATCGAAAAAAAAATTAATTTTAGGGGTCAGTTTTTGGGTTGGTTTTTGGTTAGTAAAACTGTGCTGAAAATGGCTAAAATAGGGCTTAAAAAAGGGTTAAAAAATCGATAAATTCTGAATGAATTTTCTCTGGTCCAGAGCACACAACAACATGAAAATATACACATAAAAAGGAAGTTTTGGGGGTGAAGGTGGGTAAAAAAGGTCGGAAAATCGATAATTATTCCAAAAAAATGGGCGGAGTCGCGGCTCGCCGCTTGCCGAGCTGTCGTTCTTGAAGGAAGTCCGCGTAGAGATTCGTCAGCACGCCGTCCTTATCCGAGCAAACGTTCCGGAATTCGGAGAGCAAGAAGTCTTGGAATTTCTCGGAGCATTGCCTGGAAAATGGGGGTTTTTGGGATTTTTCAAAATTGTCCAATCGCGATAAAAATCGATATCACGAGCTGAAATTGGCTGAAAATGAGATTTTTTTCGAAAAATGTGGAAAAAATCGAAAATTGAAAAAAATTTTTTTTGAAAAATTTTCAATTTTTTCTCGAAAATTCAAAATTGTCCAATCGCGATAAAAATTGATTTCACGAGTTGAAAGGGGCTAAAATTAAAAAAACCAAAATTTTTTTTCCAAAAAGCGATTTTTTCGAAAATGTCTTTCAACGTCCTCATTTTCAGCCGATTTCAACTCGTGATATCGATTTTTATCGCAATCTGACAATTTTGAATTACCCTCTATATCGATTGCTCATCATATGATTCCACGCCCAATAGAAGAATGGGGGTCGTTGGGAATTCTCCGAAAGGACCAGAGAAATGAACATTCCACCGGCCTGATGAATATAATTCATTGATTTTGTCACTTCTTCGTGTTCCTCCTCATCCTCATGATTATCGATTATCGATGAAAAGTCAGTGGTTGGCGATGGAGAAATCATTAGGCATTTCGCATGGTCCGATCCAGAAGATTCGGTTCTTGGAGACGTAAAATCGTGCTTTACATTGCATCCGATATCGATGAATCCGAAGCGGAAGAGGATTTTCAGAAGGAATTCTTGCTCATCCTCATGGGCCACGACGCCGTCGACCATCTGGAAAAATAGAATTTGGTCGATTACGATAAAAATTGATATGACGAGCTGAAATTGGCTATAAATGAGAATAATAACAGAAAATTTCAAAAAAGTTGAAAACTGAAAAAAAAAATTTTTTTGAATTTTTTGGAACTTTTCAAAAATATTTTTTTCAAATTTTGACTTTTTCGAAATTTTGACTTTTTCGAAATTTTTCTTCATAATTCTCATTTTTAACCAATTTCAGCTCGTCAAATCAATTTTTATCGCAACTGGGCGATTTTGAACGATTTTGAACAAAAACACACACCCCTCTCTTTTCTGCCTACAGTAGTCCTAGTAGTCGTGAATCCAACACTAGAATCAAATTCAGTGCTGAAAACTAGAACACTTTTGTTTGATCTTCTAGCTCAATTTCAGCATTTCTCAGAATTTTCGGATTACTGTAGCCCCGAAAGTACGCAAACACCAATGTAGCGCTAGAGGGCTGAAAAATTGGTCCTAATGTGAATTGAGTGCCAAACTCGAATTTCGCATCGAAAAATGCTCAAAATGCGCGAGTAAACCTCAAAAAGCGCAAATTTTTCAGGGACCAAATGTTTTTTTTTGCCGAATTTCTAAAATCGTCCAATTGTGATAAAAATCGATATCACGAGCTGAAATCGGCTGAAAATTCGAATGCTGAAACTAATTTTCAGAAAAGTTGAAAATTGAAAATTTTTTTTTTGAAAAATCGCACTGCAATTTCAAAAAAAATTTTTTTCAAATTTCAATTTTTTTGAAAAATTCTTTCAGCATTCTCATTTTCAGCTAATTTCAGCTCGTGATATCAATTTTTATCAAAATTGGACGACTTTGAATTTTTGACAAAAAGCGCCCCCCTCCCCCCCCCCAACTTCCGCCTACAGTACTCATTCTGCCTACCTGAATTCGTATCGGACATCTTAATGGATTCGAATGTGTGTCTTGTGCCAAAGCGAACGGATCCTCGGGTACTGGATACAGTGACATCCCTTGTTTCGATGCTTTGTTGAACCACGAGAGTACGGTATCGGCTACAGTCTGTCCGGTGGCCATTACCCATTTCATGGTGAAGCGGAACGCCGTGTCCGGGTAGAACCAATGGTCGTAGGTTATCTGGAAAAATGGAAAATTTGGTTAGCTGAAAATGTCTGAAAGTGGCTGAAAATGGCCTAGAAAACTCATCTGGAGAAAGTCAAAAATTAAAAATGGTCCAATCGCGATAAAAATCGATATGACGGGCTGAAATTGGCTGAAAAAAAGAATTCTGGAAGAATTTTTCGAAAAAGTCGAAATCTGAAAAAAAAATTTCTTGGAAAAATTGCACTGAAATTCCAAAAATTTGTTTTTCAAATTTCAATTTTTTCGAAAAATTTCTTTCAGAATCTTGAATTTCATCCCATTTCAGCTTGAGATATCAATTTTTATCGCGATTGGACAATTTTGAATTTTTTCGAAATTTTCAATTCATTTTCGAAAAAAATTTGTTTTTCAAATTTCAAAATTTTTGAAAAATTCTTCCAGCATTCTTATTTTTTTTTTTTTTAATTTCAGCTCGTCATATCAATTTTTATCGCGATTGGACGATGCTAATTCTTTCGAAAAAAATTTTGGGTCATTTTTAAGCCATTTTTAAGCTAATTTCAGCGGTTTTTTGGCTAAATTTTTGGGCCATATTTTAGGCAATTTTCAGCTAATTTTTAGCCGTTTTCAGCCAATTGATTGGTAATTATCAGCCAATTTTCAGCCAAATTTTTACCCTGGTCCATTCTCCCAGCGGTGCATCTGGCGTCGACGTCGCCAGCTCCATATCTATGTTTCCTTGTAGCTGCCATACGCATTCCGTCTCGTCTTCACTACAAATCGTGTCCTTGTACTCGACCATCATGAATCTGGAGACCTTAAAGGCGCATTTATCGTGATTGGACCATTTTGAATTTTTTGAAAAAAAAAGAAGGTTTTTTGGAGTTTTCTAGGCCACGGCCACCAAGTTAGGCTATGCGCCTTTAAACAGCTCAAAGCTTAGATTTGACGGCGCATTTTGCCAATTTTTTGCCATTTTCAGCCAAAATTTCGGGTCGTGACC